GCTCTCTGGCTGTAACAACTTAACTCTAGCCATCAGGCTAAACCATGGTGCTCAAACCTCTCAGAGCTGCCATCCTTCTCTCAGCTAGAACGGTTCCTCGGATTCTCACTTCCAAGCTCCTGCCCCTCTGGCTGCAAGCAGGGAACTGCCAGCCTGGTCTCAGCCCTGGGCTTTATAAGGGCCAGGCCCTGCCTCCTACAGGCAGCTGGCTCTCCTTAGTTGCCCCGGCAACCCGCAGCTGTGCCCGTTACCCTGGCAACCCTCATCTGGGCTCCTTATGTCCTGCCAGGGCTCTCTGTCCCTGGCAGTTTCTACTCCCTAGGAGCAGGCACTGAGGTGCCCTGCGACAATGACATACTGCATAATACTTCAGACAGCATTGCAGAGTGTGTTAGCAGAGCAGCAAAATGGAGCAAATCTTTTCTATTACTTATGAATTTATAGATTTCATAGATTTCATAGACATCAGAGCTGGAAGGGACCTCGGAAGATCATCGAGTCCAGCCCCCCGCCCAAAGGGGGGTTGTAGAGTACAGGTCTACTCTACCAAGCAATTCCTGGAACAGACAAAGATACCAGGCCCAGTCCTGACCAGGTAGGAGGGCAGGACTTGTTTTATCATGATAATCCTGTGAGCTCACACAGTTTAGGCTTTATGATGTCTTGATTGTTGGAGAATTTTCTGTTTATTTTTCTAAATACTTCCTTCTTATAAGTAGCCAAGGAAAAGGGAAATACTCCAGAAGCTAAAAGCACTGCTTAAAACCTCAGTGTGCCTGAGTTACCAGTGAAATCTGTCAACAGCTTCAGTCATGAAGTGACTCATACAACAGAGCTAGACAACTCAGTCTTTCACTTTGTTCTTGCCCTCTGTTGATTTATAGGAAAAAGGACACACAAAAAATCATGCTTTTTCAGAAATGTTTTACCTACAAGTAGTAAAGAATCAGGCCTTGCTATATGGGATATACAGAATGAGTTCCCCACAAGGGAAAAAAAAAAAGAGAAAAGTCGAAGCCATAAGAAATTAGTGGGTAGCAGGTAGGAGGGTAGAGCATAGAACAAACTCTCTTCTCTAAGAAGCATGAAGGATAAGACCTCTCTGCAACTGGCAGAAAGGAGGGACAAGGACCCAGTTTTCCACTGAAAGAGGTAAGAGATACAGGAGGTCTCATCCCATGTTTTGGTCAGGAAAATCAGTTTAAAGACAGTCTTCCTGAGCACCTATACATGTGCAGAGAGGCTGCTGCAACGCGCTGTAATTACAGCAGAGCAGACTCAATTAATCAATTCTGCTGGAGCGTGGTAATTATCATGCTTCAGCAGACTCCAGAGTCAAGTGTATCAGCGTCCCTGTGCTGAAAAATGGTAGCGGGGCGCTTTAAACAAAAGCTTGTTCGATGAGCTTTAGTTCAAAGTGCCCCACTGCCATTTTTCAGCGTGGAGTTGCTGATACAAGGGATGCTCCAGGTGCTTTTAATTAGCACATCTCTCAGCACTGTACTACTTAAAGGGCTCTCTTCCCCTCCCTGCCTCCTGGAGCACATCTATAAGTGTCCCCCAAGACCCTCCTTCAGAAGCAGATGCAAAACCCAGTGAAGTCAAGCCCCGGACAGTAGCACTGTTTAAAGCATCCTTTAGTATCATTTCCAGGAATCTAACCTTCCCCAAAATATATGCTCACCCACATAGTCGCACAATCCAAGGAAGGTGAAGAAACTTCTTAGTCTAAGAAACAAATATTTAAAATTGGCACACCCCAGCAGAGCTAACTCTGTGGTCATGGCTTGATGGGAGCCTGCTGTGGAAAGGAATGGGGATCTGATGATGAATTCAAACAGCGAGTCACCATTCTTTTCCCTGGCATTTCTTCTTTTTCTTCCTCTTACCAGAGGCAAGAATGCAGAAAAGGACAGGCCTGTTACCTCCACAGAAAGTGCTGAAATTCCTCCAGACATGCCACTTCCACTCTCTCTCTCAGTCTCTCACTGATATGCTGGACAGCTTCTGCCCCTTCTGTCAATATCTGTTAATTACAAAAGGAGCAGCTGAACAGTCTGAAGTCATTTATAAGTCACTAGATGCATATGAATAGGTACAATTCCTTCACCTTGAAGAAAGTCCCTCTACTTCCTCTGGGGATGATTTATTTCTTGCTAATAGCACAGTATCCTCCACTTACCTGCAAACCAGACAAGTGTATAATTTGCTGAGCTACGTAATACAATTCCAGTCAATGTGTTGCCTATTGCTTACCTTGGAAGAAACAGGTGATTTGCATTTTGGTTAAGTATTTAACATATTTCAGCTCCACTCTGTAACTTAACTGTACTCTGATGCACTGCATACTAGCTGTCCCAGCAAATGTCTACTTGAAGCTAATTGTACTTGTGTGGGCCTCCTCCCAATCTCATCCATGTCGCCATGTGCGGGCCGGGAGCGATCCGGGCCCTTTTTCGCTCCGCACGGGCTGTGGCCAGCAGCCCGGGCACCCTGGATCAGAGAGAACGGGCGACACGCTAGAATTAGGCACGGACTCGTAATGGTTGATTCAAGATTGTTTACTTACACCGAAGATGGTCGCGGTGTAGGCTGGACAGTTTCCCAGGCACAGCTCCTATTAAATCCTCGTTTGAGGACTACAACAAGCTCGGGTCTCTCTCACGAAGTTTGCTAGGCTCCGTGGATCCTTTTATTCACTCACTCACACGAAGTTTGCTAGGCTCTGTGGGTCCTTTTTTGCGCGCAGGGAGAGGGATACGTCGAGGATTGCGAACGGCGACGGGGAGAGGCTAAAGGGTGGTGCAACCCCCCG